CATCCTCTGCAGCTTTCACAAGCTTGAATTCTGCTGGCAGGGGAGTTGCAACCTTGCGCTCATTCTCAATTCCGTACTTCTCCCCAAGCTCCTTGATGAACTTCTCCTGGTGCAGTTTCAACCACCTGTGATCTGGATCCCTCTCTACGTGCATCCCGAGGTAGTACTTTACCTCCCCAAGGTTCTTGCACTTGAAGTTCTCCATCAGCTGCTGCTGCACCTTCTGGATCTCCTTCATGCTGCTGCTAAAGAGAAGAATGTCGTCCACATAGACCAGAAACAGCACCAGCTTCTCCCCCTCCCCCTTGAGAAAGAGGCTCTCATCACAGCTGCTGGTCCTGAATCCCATCTCCTCTAAAACAGCTGCCAACTTCTGGTACCAGCAGCGTGGCGCCTGCTTCAAGCCGTAGATGGACTTTTTCAGCTTGCACACCCTGCCCGTACCATCCTCATACCCAGGTGGCTGCGTCATGAACACCTCCTCCTCTAAAATCCCATTGAGGAATGCCGTTGATATATCCATCTGGATAATGAACTTCCCACCAACGGCTGCATCTGCCAACAAGACACGAAGGGTAGGGGGTTTGGCAGTGGGAGCAAAGATCTCATTGAAGTCCCGCTTCTCCTTCTGCATAAACCCCTTAGCCACCAACCTACTCTTGTAGATGGTGACCTGCCCCTTGTCGTCAGTCTTGATCCTTAGCACCCACTTGCATTGTACCGCTTTCTTTCCCTCAGGCAGCACCACTAGTTCCCAAGTCCCATTCTCCAGCAGGCTCTGGTACTCAGCATCCCTGGAAGCTAGCCATTTGTCCCTATCTGGTCCAGCTAATGCCTCCTCCATGCTAGCTGGTTCCTCTGGTGCAGGGGCAAGAAAACAGTACGCAGGTTGATCCTCCTCATCCGGGTCATAGCCATGCGGTAGAATCAGCAATGCCTCCTCGGTCCCAAGCTGCTGCTCCGCTACATCAGCTCCTGCAGTCAGCTTCTTAGTAGCCATACGGGTACGTCCTGGCCTGGAGACGGGTGTCTCCCATCCCTTCATAACGACACCCTTCGGCTTCTTAGTTTTCCCCTGCTGCTGCTCTCCTCCCTCGGATCCAGCAGCTCCACTAGTGCTACCGCTAATCTCCACACCATCACCTCCACCAGCAGGTGCCTCCTGCACCTTCTCTTTATCACCACCCTCTGCAGCTGCCTCCTCTCCCTCCTCCCACACACTAGGAGTCAGGTCCAGCTGCATGGTAATCTGCTTCATCTGCTGGGACACCCTGGCCTCCGGCTGTTTCTCCCAGCTCCCATACATCATGCCCTCAACAAACTTCACATCCCTGCTGTCAAACAACACACCCTTGGAAGGCTCCCACAGCAGCCATCCCTTGCTTTCAGCAGCCAGCCCCAAATGTACACACCAGATTGCACTCGCCCCCAACTTACTGCGGTAGGTCTTGGGAACGTGGGCGACTGCCATGCAACCGAACACCCTCAGCATGTCCACCGGCGGCTTCCTCCCAAGCCACCTCTCCAACGGCACCCACGAGTCATCCCCAACCTTTGTGAGTACCCTGTTCCTAGCGACGGTAGCGTGCCGAACAGCATGGGGCCACATCAAGTTGCCCAGCCCAGATTCTATGAGCAGCGCCCTAGCTGTCTCCAGAATTGTCCGGTTCGCCCGTTCTGCTACACCGTTGGACTGTGGGGTGTAAGCCGTGGTCAGCTCCCTCTGGATGCCCTGCTTCTTGAGCCAGGCCGTCATCTCAGCTCCAAGGAACTCACCACCCCGATCTGTCCTAATCCGCTTCACCACACACTCCGCTTGCTTCTCCACGAACGGCAGCCAATCGTCCCGAATCGTGGAGGCGGCGTGATCTTTCTGCTTCAGCGGATACGCCCACATTAGCCTGCTCCAGTCATCCACTATGGTTAGGAAGTACCGCTCCCCCTTGTGCCCTTGCACCGGCAGCGGCCCCACCAAGTCCATGTGGACCAGCTCCAACGGCTTTTTGCTCCTGCCAGCCACACTATGGAAGGGGAAACGGGTGAACTTTGAAAGGAGGCAAATTTCACAGTTATCATCGGGTGGTTGTCCGTTCAGCTTTAAGCCCTTAACGGCTCCATCCTTCTCCAGCTGCTTCAGCAAAGGCATTGCCACATGCCCCAAACGTCGGTGTGCAGTTGCCCAATCTGTCTCCCCAGATCTGGCCGACACTTTCACACCAACCCCTCCAACGGCGTTGCACTCCCCCTGGGATGCAGACCCCTCTCCAGCCTGCCCCCCACCGTGCCACGCCAGCGCCGGCAGCTGCCACATAGATCTGTACACGTCCTTGCTCTCGTGCAGATCCCAAAGCACCCGATTGCCCAGCTTCCCCTTATAAGTGCGAGCCCCATCCGTGTTGGTGTTCACCCCAGCCTTGCCAAGCTTACGGAGGGAGATGAGGTTGGCCTTCAGGTCGGGGACGAGGAGAACGTCGTGCAGCACCACCGGCTTGCCATCCGCTCCCTTAAATGCAGCTCGTCCCGCACCAGCCACCTTCAACATGTGTCCAGAGGCAGAGCACACCTCATTAATCGGTGCAGCGCGTACGTCGTCCAGCAGGTCCTTGCGCGGCGTCATTGTCCAAGCAGCGCCTGTGTCCAACACCCAATAGTCCAGGGGGTGCAGCTCTGCTCCAGCCTTAGCAGATGCGTCTCCTTGCTCCCCCTTGTCTCCCATATGGAAGAATTGGCCCGCGGTGCGCTCCTTCTTCTTCTCCGCACCGCCGTTGCCCTTCGGGTTGTTGTCGGACGAATCAGCGACCATGTTGGCGCCGTTTTTCTGGTTCCTCCGCGCGCCGCCATCCTGGTGACGATTCTGGGGGGTCCATCCATCGGGTTTCTTATAGCACAAAAACCAGGGGTGCCCTTCCTTCTCACAATACCAGCAACTCCCTTTCATTTTGCCACCAGCACCCGACTTGCCCCCACGTCCAGATTTCGCACCGCGACCCCAACCGGTACCTCCTTGTTGGTCGTTGGAGTCGTCGTCTTTCTTTGCACCGCGTCCAGCACCACCGAAGCCACGTCCTCTGCCACGTCGGCTCCCTTGCATCCCGTAGCCGCTGCTGCCGTCGTCTCCACCCCTCAGTTGACGGCGACGGAAGTCCTCCTCTAGAATCTTTGTCCGCACCCACTCGAGTGTCCACGAGCTCTGGTTCTGCGGCAGGCTCAATCCGCTCGTGAATTGAAGCCACGATTCCGGCAGCAGCGAGAGCATCTTCAGGCACTTGGTCTGCTCTGGGTAGGTGATTCCCGCGATCGCCAACTTCGCGTAGAGGTCGCGCAATTTGTCCAGGACAGGTTGCACTGGCTCTCCCTCGCTCAGGCGCAACGCGGACAGCTCCCTCTCCAGCATCAATGTTGCAACAACGGAGGTCGGGGCGTGCAGCTCCTTCAACACCGTCCACGCCTTCGGACCGCACTCAACCTCCGGCAGCAGGTGCATGACGTGGTGACGCTGGTTCAGCTCCAAACTCTGCGACATCAAGTAGTAGCCAGCCGAGGCGCGCTCGTCCCAATCTTCCTGAAGGGCGGGGTCACTCGGTCTAGGCTCCTCCCCAATCATTAGTTTCAGCAATCCGATTTGACGGAAATAAAGTTGCATTTTCCAGGCCCAATCATCATAGCCCTCACCATTGAACTTCTCGACGGTGAAGTTTTTCAGCACCTCCTTGATCAGCGAGCCCTGGCTTGTTCGCGCTCCCCTTGGCGCAGAAACACCAGAATCATGGCTGCCGCTACGATCTTGGGCTGAAGATTCACCAGCTACCGCCGAGGTGTTGCCCGCCATAGCTACCTATATCGAGGATCACTATAACGCAGCTCTGATACCAGCTTGTTGGTGTAAGGGCCTAATAAACTCAAGCTATTAAGACTTTATCACACTTAAAACCTCTCCTCGGGGTCACCTCCAAGGGTCCTTGGGTGCCTGGTACAAGACCAGCCCCTATCCTCGGGTCCGAGTTTGTAGAGAGAGGAATCAAGAGGGACTTAGTCAAAACAGCAAGAGTACCTTGAACGTCGCGCAGCGTATCGTGCAGACCGTCGATCGGATTAAGCTGAGAATTTCCTATATCGAAGCTCACTCTAAGAGCTTTAAAATAAGCCAAGTTGCCTCGCGAAAAGTTCTGCCATTACGAAGTTATGGCTCGGACAGCGTTAGCCTAGCGTTGGAGTGCTAGCGTACTAGCGTTGACTCGGGTAGCATTCCGCCGTCGCACCGCGTAGACAAGAAATTCCAGCAAGGAAGGAATTCGCTTGAATCAATTTCACTATATTCAGGTACAAACAGAGAAGGAATAAATAGCTCTAGCTAGCAAGGACCTTGGGAATCAACCTGGGAACAACCAGGGATGATCCCAAATAATTCCAAGCAACAGAACCAACATGGCTGGACAAAATAGCAGGTGATAGGTTGGTGAACAACCTCTGGTTCTGTTTTTCCAACCTGGGAAAACAACAACCAGGTTCAGGTCCTAAAAACAGAACCTGTTTTGTCTTTGCCCAACCAGCCAAATGCTGGTTCCGCTGGTTTCCCCTGGCCCTGTAGCATGCAGATACAGACAAACAACATCCAACCTTCACCTAAATTGTACCCCTATAGTGCCTGCCCTGCTACACTATAGTCAACCAAACAAAACAGTACAATTTCGAGTTGGATAGAACTGAATCTGCGCAATCAAGTAAGTTGAACCGCAAAGCTTCCATCTTGGGTTCCTTTGCGAGCTCGTCCTTTCTGCTTGTACTGTTCATAGCGCGTACAATGTTATGCCGAAGCGCACATTTTGCGAGTACCTGCAAATGCTTCAAGCGAAAATTGCGAAAGCAAACAAACACACAAACATACCATTCACACGCAAATGCATTCGCACACGCATACTCGTACAAACAGACGGCAGGATGTCGTGCAATGTGAATTTGCACCCAACAAGTTGGTCATGGCAGGCGGGCTCGAGTTGGTCATGGCAGGTGGGCTCGAGTTGGTCATGGCAGGCGGGCTCGAGCTGGTCATGGCAGGCGGGCTCGAGCTGGTCATGGCAGGCGGGCTCGAGTTGGTCATGGCAGGCGGGCTCGAGTTGGTCATGGCAGGCGGGCTCGAGCTGGTCATGGCAGGCGGGCTCGAGTTGGTCATGGCAGGCGGGCTCGAGTTGGTCATGGCAGGCGGGCTCGAGTTGGTCATGGCAGGCGGGCTCGAGCTGGTCATGGCAGGCGGGCTCGAGTTGGTCATGGCAGGCGGGCTCGAGTTGGTCATGACAGGCGGGCTCGAGTTGGTCATGGTAGGCGGGCTCGAGTTGGTCATGGCAGGCGGGCTCGAGTTGGTCATGGCAGGCGGGCTCGAGTTGGTCATGGCAGGCGGGCTCGAGTTGGTCATGGCAGGCGGGCTCGAGTTGGTCATGGCAGGCGGGCTCGAGTTGGTCATGGCAGGCGGGCTCGAGTTGGTCATGGCAGGCGGGCTCGAGTTCTACCCCCTGGCCGGCGATCCCAAGGTGCTCGCTGAATGTGAGTGCGCGGGGGGGGGGGGGGGGAGGAGGTGAGGTGAGTGTAGGTGGGGTAGGGGGTAAGCTCCAGTGGGGGGAAGGAAGTGAGGGCAATCGATTGGGGTGAGAGGACTGCAAGCGCGGAGAAATTTGATTGGGTGGGGTTGGCGAGGCGGACGTGAGTGCGGGGAGAGGGGAGGGGGAAGGGGGGAGGACATGGGCGTGGGGAGTCATCCAATCCACGCCTTCCGCTGCCATGCCTCGTCTCGCCACCACCTTCTCTAATGCTCCTTCGTATAGTGTACTCTATATTACAGGCATGCAGGTGAGTAAGAGCAAACAATGCATTACCTGATAGCTACTTGCTGCCGCCACGGACACCTTTGACCCTTTATAGGTGTCCGTGGCAGAGTGGGCTCCAATACGGTCAAGCAGTCCCCAAACGGACATAGCTACTTGTACTAATTGAGACCTCTCAATTAGTGGCCCGTCAAACCGAGCTTGCTGCTGTCTACGCGTTTCTCGGATTGAGAGCTCCAGAGTGGGCTCCAATACAGTAGAGCAGTCCCCAAAGGGACAAAGCTTCGTTCGGGGCGCCTTCCTCACCCCTGCCTTGTCTTTCCTCCCCCCAGGCAGACATGGTGAAGAACAAGGGCTTCCTGCCATCGAGCAGCGCAGAGGTAGTACAGCAGTGGCAGCAGCTCGAGTCCATCATCTTCTCCACCTGGCCCGCCTGCACCCACCCCGACCTCGCCAGCAACGGCACCCCCTTCCGTGCCGATGCCATCATCGCCAACCCCCCCGTGTATGGTACGTGTGTGCCCGCCATCATCGCCCAACCCTCCTGTTTACGGTAAGCTATGCGCTGGAGCAGGAAACGCAGGGCTGTGTATTCGCCATACACACATCCATGTATCGGCATCTCAATGCGTTCAATTCAACCACGCATCCATGGTCCATCCACGCGACGCGAACACACCCACAACCATACACACCTGCACTGCACCCCATGCGCCCCCATGCACCCCCATCCGCACCCATGCGTGCCCTGGTGACCATGCATGCAGGTCACACCATAGTGGCGGAGGCCCTGCAAGTGCCCCTTCACATGTTCTTCACATGGCGTGGAGGTACGCTCTGCCGTGGAGGTACGCTCTGCCGTGGAGGTACGCTCTGCTCTGCTCGTGCCACTGCCCATGCTCCATGCCATGAAGCTATTGCTGTTTTCAAGAAACTAATGGATTTTTTTTTTAAATCCTCAAAAAGCAACTACCTTTGACATGAATTGAACCCTGCTCTTGAAAAACCTCCTGCCTTTCCTCCCAAGGCTCCCAGACGCGCACAGACACATCACATGATTTCTCCCACACGAATGTGCACTCCATTCAATTCCATTCTGCATCCCATCTCCCCCCGTTGCACTGGCAGCATGACGGCAGAGTACCCGCGTCCCCTGGCTGGCGAGATGCCCGCCTACACAGGCTATGAGAACCAGGTGCGCTGCCGGGCTTTAAGAACCAGGTGCGCTGCCGGGCTTTAAGAACCAGGTGCGCTGCCGGGCTTTAAGAAGTAGGTGTGCTGCTGGGCTTTAAGAGCCTAGGGCGCTTGCTGGGCTATGAGAAGCAGGTGCTCTCACTGCTCATGCTGCGTTGCGTTACCATGCATGGTCTCCTCCTCCTCCTCTCTCCCGTGCCCTCCGTGGATGTATCGTACGTGGTGTGGTGGAGTGGAGGGGCTGATGTGGCTGGGCGTGTGGGACTGTATCAACCAACTGCTTTCAATCTCTCCCCAAAACCCCCTCTGCTGCTACACATGCCCTCCCCACAGCTATCTTACGTGGTGGAGGTGGAGGGGCTGAAGTAGCTGGCCGTGCTTTACTCCATGCACTGGCCTCTCACATCCTCCCCCTCTGCGGCTCTGCCCCGTTCATCATCTTCCCACCCACAGCTATCGTACGTGGTGGTGGAGGGGCTCATGTGGCTGGGCGTGCGGGACTTTATCAACAGTTTCCGCAAGAAGCTCAAGCTGCCGCCCATCCTGCTGCGCAACCACCCTAAGATGCGCATCCCCTTTGGCTACATCCGGAGCCCCACGCTCGCCCCCAAACCCCATGGTGAGACACTTTAGGATTTCTGCGATGTTTCAGAGCCTCACGCTCTCCCCAAGCTGTGTATCCGTCTAGGCAATCTGATAGACGTGACGTGACGTGACGTGATGGGGTTTTGGTTCCGCAATCTGGCAGGCCACTGCCCGCTCACCCCTCTCACACCCACCATCTCTGCTTCCTTTCCTTTTCCTTGTAGCAACTTGTCATCCGCCCCTGCTCTCTGAACCCCAACCGCCAGACTGGGGCAACCCGATAGACGTGGTGGGCTTCTGTTTTCTCAACCTGGCGGACCACTACTCGCCCCCAGCGTACATCCAACAGTTTCTTGACTCCGGCCCGGCCCCCGTCTTCATCGGCTTTGGTAGCTTGGTGCGTCTTGCATCACCTCCCTTTCATTTGAAAAGGTAGTCCTGTCCGGTCAGTCTCATTGTAACAATCCTAGAAACGGTCTACCACCTTCTTTGCACCTTCCCTGCACCTGCCATGCAGATTCTCACGAACTGCACTTGCATGGCTGGTCTGTACAGAGCAGTCGTCTTTTCAGCTGTTCGTCTTCCCACTGGGTTGCACAGGTCAACGGGAATTCCGCTCTCTCTGCCTCTCACCATCTGCTCCTCCATCCCCCACAACCCCATGCTCTCCCTCCCCCCCTAGCTTCCATCAGTCCCCAATCCACGCCCCCTCCCCCCTCCCCCTCCTCTCAAACCCCCCCCCCCCCCCCCCCTTCCCGCCCTGCAGCCGGTGTCAGACCCCAAGGGGCTGACACAGAAGTTGGTGGAGGCATTGCAGCGCAGGGGGCAGCGCGGGATACTGCAGGAGGGCTGGGGGGAGCTGGGCAAGAGTGAGTGCCGTGGGGTGGGCGCGCGCGGCAAGAGTGGGTGCTGTGGGGTGGGGTGGGCAAGCATGGGTGGTGCGGTTGGAAGAGGTGGGCACGGTTGAATGCTAGGATGCACATCCAAATCATATGTGTTTGAATGATACGATGCACATCCAAATCATATGTGTTTGAATGATACGATGCACATCCATATCATATGTGCTTGAATGCTACGATGCACATCCATGTGCTTGAATGCTACGATGATGCACATGCATGTCATTTGTGTGCGCACATTTCAATGTGCTTGGTATATCTGAGAACAAAACAGGTATTCCGAGCCTTGAACTCTGGAGTTCACATCCTGAGGCGCCTGAGATGAGATGGTGTGTGTGTGTCATGACCCCCTATACGCCCCGGCCCACCCCTGCCAGCTCACTCTTTGTATCTCCTCTCCTTCACCCTTCTCTCGTTCTCCCCCACGCTAGTGGAAGCACCCAACCCCAACGTGCTGGTGATCGGCAACTGCCCGCACGACTGGCTGTTCCCTCGCTGTCGGGCTGTGCTGCACCATGGGGGGGCGGGCACCACTGCTGCTGGGCTAAACGCAGGGGTGAGTGGGGCAAGACGGGGGTGCGTGGCATGCCTTTCTTGTTACAAGTGTGGGTGGTGTGCATGCCAGCGTGCAGCCATGCAGGGCTGTGCTGCACCATGGGGGGGTGGGCACCACTGCTGCTGGGCTCAAGGCAGGGGTGAGTGGTGTATGCATGGTTGCAGTGGTGGGGCAAGGCAGGGGCGAGTGAGTGCTGTGTGGGGCAAGGCAGGGGCGA